CTAGCGGATGCTGTCACAGTAACACAGCAATGATTAAGTCGGCAGGGATTTCTCTTTTATTCGGTTGTCATCAGGCAATTCAATGGCATAGGGTTTGGAGCTGATGACACATTCTTAAAAATTGTTTATCAGACCTTGAACAGAAATTGTCTTCCATTTCTTGAAGTGAAAGAACCTTTATAGTGCCAATATTTTGCGCTTTTCTTCAATCCTAAAGGTTTTAACTCTGTGGGTGTCAACAGGCCCTCAGTACCTCTCTCAAATAACTGCATATGTGAGCCTGGATAGCAGCTATACAAAGCATCACAGTTGATCTCAATCCTGTTCTCACTCAATACCACAATGCACACTTTTTAGCAGGAGCAGGGAACCATGGTTAATGTCTTTTTCACTAAAGTGTATTAAATAATAATAATAATGAAATAATAATAATCTTTGCATTTGGTATAGCACCTTCCATGTCAGGAGGACATCCCGAAGCACTGCACAGGATTTACTGTAAAGTGGAGTGACTGGGTATTTGTAGGCAAACCACAGCAGCCGAATTTTGCACACCAATGTTTGATAAACAGCCAAGAAATAAATGAACAATTTTACTTGGGGATAATTGTTGGCTAGGACACTAGGAGAAATTTCATTTTTTTTAAACATGCCATAGAGCAATGAAATCTTTTTAACAACAACAACAAAATACAACAACAAAATTATATTTGTATAGCGCCTTACATGTTGGGAGTATGTCCCAACACACTGGACAATCAGTGATCCAGATCCGAGTTGGGGGTTGGGATCGGGGAGGGGGGAGGGCTTCCCATCACATAGAGGGGGAAAGGAGGTTGACCGAAGGCATGATCAAAGAGTAGGGTCTTGAGACGGGTCTTGAAGGAGGCAAGGGAGGGGCAAAGCGGCGGGATTGTAGGATGAAGTTCCAGAGGGTGGGGGCAGAGTGGCTGAAGGCCCGCCCAAATGGTAGGACAGGAGTGGTGGGGGACATGAAGCAGGCCGGAGCCCACTGAGCGGAGGGAGAGGGCAAGTTGGTAGGGGGTTAGGAGGTTGCAGAGGTTGGGGGGGAGCAAGGGCATGGAGGGCTTTGAAAGTGAGGACCAGGATCTTGAACTATATCCTCTATGTGATGGGAAGCCAATGGAGTCGGGGGAGGATGGGGGTGATAGGGTCGCGGAGCCTGGTGTGGGACAGGAAATAGGCTGCAGATGATCTGGATAATTGTCAGCCGATAGAGGGAGGAGTTGGGGAGGTAGACACAGGTGTAGTCGAGCCTGGATGTTATATGAATGCATGTATGAGGGTTTCGGTGGCCTACGTGTGAGACAGTGGCGGAGCCAGGCAATGTTGTGGAGGTGGGGAAAGGCAGAGCGGGTCATGGCATGGCTGTGGGGTATGAAGGACAGTTGAGGGTCGAACAGGACACCGAGGTTCCGTATTGGCTTCGTGAGATGTAGAGTGCATTCATGGAGGGAGATGCTGTCAGCGCCTGAGGTATGGGGGCGCTGATAGGAGCTAACGGGAAGATGGATGGAAGAGATGGTTAGTGGTGGAGAAGAAGAGCCTGGGATTGTCCTTGGCCTCCATCTTATCTTGGAGTAAAAGAATGATTTGGCGGAGGCGAGGGCGGAGCGGTAGTAAAACCAGATCTGCTGATGAATCGTTAGGTTTGATTTGGTACAAGAGCGTTCGGCAGCGCACACTCTTGTGCTTGAGAGTTCGTATACCAGGAGTATTTACAGGAATATGAGGTGGTTTGGGAGGTGAGGCGGGCAAGAGGGTGGAGAGGGAGTTGTGGAGGAGAGAGATCGAGGAATGTACGTCATTGTGAAAGGATGTCCAGAGGGGCAGGAATTCAGATGACTACAGGGCAGCGGAGAGGCAGTGGGGGAGATTTTTTCCCAAGGGGGTTAGGTGATAGAAGTGGGTTGAGTAGGAGGAAGGGGGACAGAGGTGTGTTAAGGCCGATGAAGTGGTGATGTGAGATTAACGTCCACCTGAACAGGCAGAAAGGTCCTCAGTTTAACGTCTCATCCGAAGCAAGGCACCTCTGACAATGCAACTCGCATCCATCACTGCATTGGAGTGCCGTTTTAGACTTTGTGAGTCAAATCCCGACGTGACGTTTGAACCCCACAGCCTGCTAACGCAGTGGCGAGACTGCTATCACTAAACTAGGCTGGCACCTGCCAATAAAGTCAATTATCGACCTCCAACTGCTTCCCCAGCTGACATAAATATTATGAATATAAGTGTCGTATTGAACTTGTAACATCATATAGCCTAGTGCTATAATGGGATTATTACGAGTGTCTGACAAAAAGGGCTCTGCAAATTTGTAACGTATTATTTACATAAACAGGTAAACAGAATTGAACAATCTTTGTTGCTGTCAAAAAAATATAAGCATTGAAAGAAATTGTCATGAGAAAAGTTAATTATATAATCCTTTTGTTTCATGTTTAGGAACTTGCGTTGTTCTTCCATGTCACTGAATGTTTAACTGCATTACAGTGTCACTTATAGTGGCCCCGAAGCATTTTGGTGCTTTGAACATTGCATGATACAGTATGGTGAAAATAATGTATTGTAATAATACAAAGTTAAACCCCCAATTTAAAAAAAATGATGGAAATGTCCAGGATCTGTGTTGTACAATTTTGTTTTCCTGAGTGAGCAGATTATACAACTCCAAATTGCAGTAAGTACATGTGAGCTGTGGTCCATTTAAAAGAAAGAAGCAAAATGATACACCAGTGATTTTAATAGCTCATCTATTGGTCACACTCCAGTTCTTAGAGTATTTTGAAAAAAAACTTTTTGTTGTAAGCAAAGCATTTTATTATTCTGCATAAATATGAGCTTATCTCCAGAGATGATTGCCAGTTTGAAAGTGATCTAAACAGAAAATGAAATGTAGTATAAAGTTCACAAGCCTCAATACAGTTAATTTATCAGTGAGTCCTAGCTCTTATGTAAGAGTTATTAGCTTCATGTTTTGACTTTAATAAATAATAATCTTTACATTTGGTATAGCACCTTTCATATCAGGAGTATGTCCAAAAACGCTTCACATAATATTTCTCAAAATGGAGTGATTGCGTGTTTTAACAAATGTGAAGTATGGTGAAATTTGCCATATATCCATATTTTATAGAGAAACAAAATGATGTTTGGCAGCTTTGTCTCTCTCGCGGCTGAATCAACACAGAATAAAAGGAAATGAAATGCAAAGTGATTAAAAATGGATGTTAAGTGACAAATTTTTGACCATCCAAAGGCTTTTCAAACATAAAATTACAACAAGTTGCATTTATGTAGCACCCCTCATTTAGGGTAGAGTCCCAGAGCGCTTAATTAAATCTAATAGACAGAAGCATTTAGTTAATTATAAGGGTCAGATAAAGGAATGTTAAAAAAATCAATAAAATAAGAAAAACATAAGATTGCCACAATAGATTAAATAAGCCGGGATATTTAAAATAAATATGCAGTAACCGTGTAATACTTGTAAATACTGTCTTTTTAAACAAAAATGGGAGCTTTCCTATGTAGTTAAATGTAATTAAAAAATTAAGAATGTTAATTGGACATAAATTTGCTCATAATTGACTGAGTCAATTCTCAATAAACCTGCAATAATGATGTCATTAATTCAGTGTGTGAATGCCTTCATGAATCAGGGATGCAGAGCACAGCCCCAACGAGAATCTGCATTGATCATTGGTGCCAAAAAACAAATGGATCGCGTGAAATGGAAACACTGCTTTTAACAAATAACATGTTTAAATTTAACCTAATCTCAGGCTTCAAATGCCCCTTTAAAACAATCTGAGTGTTGTAGTTTAAAAAAAAATTACATATAGATGCCCGACTACTGAGTATATGAAACTATTCATTTGCATAATTTTCTGCAAATTTCTGAAAAGTGCGTTTCTTGATAGTATTCTTGAATTAAATTGACAAAAATAGCATTCTCCTCCACCCTCGTTCGGTGTCTGGCACTGTTTCTCTAAAAGTGCTTTGAGACGTTACCCTATGTGATAGCTGCTATATACAGTATAGCAGTCTTAGCACACTTCTTTATAGCACAAAGAGGGTTATAACAGGGTTCTACTGTGGACTGTATTCTCTGCACGTGCGCCACCTGCCAGGAAAAGGGAAATAAGTGTTAGTGTGCATACCTGGAATTTGTCATTCACTGATGAGGGAGCAACTTCTTCAACATTGAAACTTGATTCATGTTTACGGTCACCTCCGCTTTCCCCTTCTTCGCTCTTGCTTGAATCCGATCAGACTGAATGCTCCGATACAATCCAGTGTGAAAGGTGCCAAATACTTACAAGTTGTTGTCGGAGAAAGGCAAGGAAATGGGATTAAAATATATGCCATGATCTAATAAAGGGGAAAGGGTGCCGAAAACACGGTCAAAATGATAGGTCTTAAGGTGGGTACTGAAGGGGGGGAGGGAGGGCCCTGCAAAATGGAGAGATTCCGGGATGCAAAGCAGGAGCACAGTATCTGAAAACGTGCCCACTAGTGGTTGGGCAGATCAGGTGGGGTGTGAAGAGACTGTGTTTTGTTAAGCAATAGGAACTGGGGAAGCAAGGCTTTCCAGAGTTTTGGAGGGCAAGGCCATGGAGGCATTTGAAAATGAGGTTGAAGATCTTGAATTTGATCCGCTGTGGGATGGGGAACCAGTGGAGTTGAGTGAAGGTGAGGTGACAGGCTTGTGAATCCTGGTGCAGGACACAAGTTACACAGTCCTAAGTAGTCGACAGCTGTTCAGGGAAGAGCTGAAGAAATCTGGCGAGCAGTGTGAAAGGGGTATGGAAAAATTCCATACTCTGCTCAACACCCGCTAAAGTGGACGTAAGCAAAAGTTGGACAAAAGAAAAGATTTGAAATATTCAAATACATTTTGAATAGTGTTTTAACCTATTTTGTATTCTGAGGTTGTTTTTTATGACAAAATTACGTTGATGGATACCATGAAGTAAAATTGGACACTGTTATAATTTTTATTAGAGGCAAGTACTGCTTCCTGTAGATCACCTTCACAATAATGGATACAACACATTTTACCCACTATTAACATTTTATTTCATTCCTTCGAGTGAACAGCTTTTAAAATCCGTCTCAAAGCCCTTAGCTGGAGATTCACAAACTGTACTAGACTTTGTATATGTGTTGTTCTTTACATTTTAGAGTGTGCTTTACATTTTCTAATGTATTTACATACTTCAGTCGTGTGAATGTTCCGAGAAATATAATGGTCTGGATAAAAAAGAAAATGTAATGCTGCCTGCCGAGCATTTCAAGTTTAATTATAAATGTTTGTCTGATTTAGGCAATGAGCGCCTGCTATCAAAGGCGGCGGGTGAAAATATTCTTGGTGGGGGTTGGGCGAGAAAAGCTCAGTTTAAGGGTATATCTACTTTAAGACAGGTAAGCAGTTGGCTTGACTGATAGGTCTTTTGGCCAATCAGAGGTGAGGACTTCCCGTCGAGCAGCTTGCAGGACCAGGTGGGTGGGGGTTACCGATGAGTTGGGGAAGGGGCAAGAGGTGGGCCCTAGGGTACCATGTGCTGGGGCTGCTCGGATGACTGGCTGTGGTCCTCCTCAGGGCTTTCCCCTCCCATCTCCCCTTAAAGAGGTGAGCTGTAGAAAGATGTAGGGGGTGAGCCCCTCTCGTCCTAGCCACCCGCCATGTATGCCTGCTATTATACCCCAGAGAACAATTCAGCTGTCTCAGCAAGTTAAAACAAGTATTAGTGATGTCAATACAGTTTACGGTTCAGTAAAACTGCCTCATTGTCAGTCAGTGGTTAACAATTTTCTCCATTTTCTAACAAAGTAAAATGTCTGTAGAGCACAATAGTTTCCACAGTTGGTGTGTTGTTCTTGTTGCTCTTCCCTGTAAAATTTCTGTACTGAATTATGGAACCGGGTAAGTGATGCATCTCCATTGTTGCTTGGCCACTGTCATGTAATTTCAGCATCAATTGTACCAAGAATGACATTTTGTATAATTCAGAACAGAAACAGAAGAGGAGACACCACATGATATTTATACCTGGCAATTTAAATATTTAAATTTTAAAAATTCTCTTATAAGTATTATTTCCTATTTACAAGGAGCCAAAGAATATCTGATCCTTTTTATTTTTAAAGAGCAGAAAATGACTTTTGCCTGCTTTTGCTTAACTGTCTTTGCAGATTGTAGGTGCAAAGTCATGAAAGTCATGGAGCTCAACAAGTCTCTGCATACATGCTATAGTTCATTCAGGTTGAATAAAAAGGAGGTTAACATCAGAGATCACAGTGTTTCTCATGATTCCTTACTGGAACTCATGATGCTGGATTGTGAATCACTAGAATGTAGTGAGTTAGTTATGCAATTCAGTGCAGTAGCTCAGACTTTATCCAGTTATAGCCATCATGGTAATTTCCCTTGCCCTCCCTTGGTGCCATGCTGTCTTTTGTGTCCAATCATTCTCGACCATCTGAATTCCTTTGAGGATTTTGTTCGTTTTAGCAGCAGCATGGCCTAGCACAGCCCAATGTATTTCAAGTTATTCTGAATAATCACATCGGTGACTGCATCAAAGACAAACTGGATATTACTGGTGTCTGTGGCACAGGTGAAATGGGAATAGATCTCCTTGGTTTCCTTGTTGCGGTTGAGGTCCTCAAACTGCCGCTGAATGTAGACGGCTGCTTCTTCATATGTGTTCTGACCCTTGTACTCCGGGAAACACACCGTCAATGGGATTCGTTTGATCTTTTCTGCAAGCAGATCCTTTTTATTCAAAAACAAGATGAGGGAAGTGTTGATGAACCAATTGTTGTTGCAGATAGAATCGAAGAGACGTAAACTTTCAGCCATTCGGCTCTGAAATGAGAAAGGATATTTGATGAAAAATGGAAAATTTATTCAGTAGGAATAGGAAACAAATCAATTGTTTTCTTAAAAGATAACAGATTTTATTATAGTTAAATCAGCCGATAATAAAATATTTTCTGTTATTCATCCATTGAGTTAACTTTTATTGCATTTAAGGCATATGCTTTAATTTGGGATATGGCTCTTTAAAATTAGTGGCACTGGAAAATTTGCTGCATCTACTTTCATTTCTTGCATCACAAGATAATATCTTTTGGTGAAATAATTGCACGGTTATCTGAAGCTTTTACTAGATAGTGGTGATTTGGAGGTTAAAACTGTAATGGACCATTAAACTGGAGATGAGAAACCAGAAACCAGAAAGGTGTAAATAACTCACTATTGTTTTAGCCTTAAGCAGTCCTGTTTTGAAATTGCTGTGTTTTAGGTCAATAAAATAGGGATGTCATTTTATAGTTTCAAAAATGTTCTGATATTGGAAAGGGATGAGCAGTAGGCCTTCATTTTTACATACTTAAAACAATTTGGTGGGGAGAGAAGATTTGATATTCCAACATTTCAAACTTTAGCTTTGAAGGCTTTGAAAGTTAACCACCACATGTAAAGCAAAACTATTTCCAAATGGAAAGTTAAAGCTGAATTCTGAATGCCTTATTTCTTTTACAAGAGTGGTGTAGATGAAGAAGGCCCTTTGGCCCAACTGACCTAGTTCCTCCAAAAATACACACCCTGCCATCTTCCTATCATAGCACCAAACTGCTTATTTAAATGTGTCCAGGATCCTGGTATCAATCAACCTTCCTGATAATCTATTCCAGACTTAGAAGAACAAAAGGACATATATTTTGAGTTCTGTCTTGGTGTATCCTACTTTTTGGGATTTTCTCAATCCCATTGAAGATTCTCCAGATAATATTGGTCATTCATTTCATGGCTGTTTGGCAGATATTGCTGTGCACAAATTAGCTTCCGAATTTGCAAATACATAGTCACGATATGTTACTGTACATCCTATTAAGTGCTCTGAGATTCTCAATGACATAATAAAGTTCTATACCAAATTAAAATGCAGGGATTATTTCCTTATTTGCAGGAAAGAGCTTCAAGTCACATCAGTAGTTCTTAACATTGATATTTATGTATATTGTTTTTCATCCTTCTTAGAGAAGGCTTTGCAAACTTCAAATTCACATAATCCACACCTTCTACCCTGCCATTAGCCTTGGAACACAGTGTGGTGTCCAGTACCTCTTAGTTCTGGACACCAGAAGAAATTCCCCTCTCTTTTCGAGTAGTCTTCTCTGTCTCCTTGTCCTCCTCAACCTCTCTGCTGCCTTTGACACTATGGACCAATCTATCCACCTATCACCTTAACCTTCAAGGTTCTGTCAGATCCTCTGTCTCACACCGGCTCCATTTTGTCTCCACAAATGGCTTCTCCTCCAGCCTCCACACTGTCTCATGCAGTGTTTTCAGGGTTCTATCCTCGGTCCCCTCCTCTTCACCCTCTATATGCTCCCCCTGTGGTGACATCATCCGCAGACATGGGGTTAACTTCCACATGTATGCAGATGACACCCAACTCTACCTTTCCTCCTCTACCCTTAACTCCACGACCCCCGATGTCCTGACAGTCTGCCTGTCTGACATCGAGTCCTGGACGAGAGACAACTTTCTTCAGCTCAACGTGCGCAAAACTGAGGCCCTCCTGATTGGCTCACGTCTGCGCCTCCGCACCTCAGGCGCTGACAGCATCAGCATCCAAGGCTGCACTCTCCACCTCTCAAAGCCATCAGGAACCTCGGGGTTCTGTTCGACCCTGAGCTGTCCTTTCTTCCTCATATCCGCACCACAACTGGCACCGCCTTCCAGAATGTCAGACATCAAGTCCTGGATGAAAGCCAACTTTCGACAGTTGAATGTCAGCAAGACTGAGGCTCTTCTGATTGGCTCACTCCAGCGCCTCCACACCTCAGGCACTGGCAGCATCAGCATCCACCTCACTGAGCTAGTCCGGAACTTTGGCTTCTTTGACCCTCAACTGTCCTTTCTACCCCACATTGGTGTCATGACCCACTCTGCCTTCCCCCACCTCCGCAACATTGCTGGATACTGCCTCACCCCTCAGGCTGTCAAAACCCTCATCCACGTATTCATCACATCCAGGCTCGACTACGCTAACTCCCAGCTTGTCAGCCTTCCCAATTCTTCCCTCCACAGGGTTGCAGATCATCCAGAACTCTGTAGCTTGTGTTCTCCCCTGCATCAGACTCCGTGACCCCATCAACCCCATCCTCATCCGGCTCCACTGGCTCCCCATCCCTCAAGGGAAAGAGTTCAAAATTGTCGTCCTCAACTTCAAGGCCCTCCACGGCCTTGCCCTTTCCTACCTCTGGGACCTCATGACCTCATATCAACCTGTCCGCTCCCTCTGCTCAGCAGGCTCTGGCCTACTCCACCCCACCATCGGTGGCTGAGCCTTCAGCCTTTCTGCACCCACCCTATGAAACTCCATCCCATATTCCCTTCGCCTCGCTCGCTCCCTTGCCTCCTTCAATGCATGCCTCAAAACTCTCCTTTTCAACCGAGCCTTTGGCCACCCTCCTGCCCTCCCTGCTCTCTCCACTCCTACATCCCAACCCCGAGCTCGGATCCAAATCCCTGCTGTCCAGCGCCTTGGGATGTCCTCCCAACATGAAACAACAACAATAAAATTACATTTTCAGCCGGGAGGAAGTCCTAATGTGGGGCAGGGTTGGGATGAGGGAGGGCAGAGCAGTAGGAGTGCAGCTGAAGGCACGGTCTCCAAATGAGGGGCTTGAGTCATGCCTTGAATGAGGCAAGGGAGCGAGCAAGGCGAAGGGACTGTGGGTTGGAGCTCCAAAGGATGGGGGGGCAGAGAGGCTGAAAGCCTGGCTGTCGATGGTAGAGCGGGTCGGGAGACATGGAGCAGGCCGGAGCCTGCTGAACAGAGGGAGATGACAGGCTGATAGGGAGTTAGCAGGTCAGCGAGGCAGGAGAGAGCAAGGCCTGGGAGGGCCTTGAACGTGAGGACGACGATTTTGAATTCTATCCTCTGAGAGATGAGGAACCAGTGGAGTTGGGCGACGGTGGGGGTGATGGAGTCACAGAGCCTGGTGCGGGAGAGGACACGAGCTGCAGAGTTCTGAATGATCTGAGTTGGGGAGGCCGACAAGAAAGGAGTTTCCATAGTCAAGCCTTGAGGTGATGAATGAGTGTTTCGGCGGTCTGAGGTCTGAGGGGTGAGGCAGTAGCGGAGTACGGCAATGTTGCGGAGGTGGAGGGATAAAGCAGAGCGGATCATAGCACGGATATGGGGGAGAATGAACAGTTGAGGGTCGAACAAGACGCCCAGGTTCCTGACTGGCTTGGTGAGGTGGAGTGTACACAAATTACATATAATGCCCAAAGGCGCTATATGTAATTTTGTATTGCATTGTATTGTATTATCTGAAGGACCATAGTTCAACAATGCAGAGTTCCCCCAGTGTCAATCTAGACTTGTAAACTCAAAGGTGAAGATATGGGGCTTGAACCCAGAATCAGAGTCAGAGGCAGGAATGCTACCAACTGAGGCAGGCTTACACTGAACAGTACTGCTGTAGCTGACATTACATCAGGAGGGAAATTATTGGCTTTCTGGATTGCAGGAGTTTGAGGGAGGGATGTGTAAAATCTGCCCGTGGGTTGGATTTCGGAAGGAGATTTAAAGGAACCACTCACTTATATCTTTGTGACTGGCCACCTCAATATATGCAGGCTGTTCTGTGACAACTGTGCACTTGATGAGCCTACCATAACGTTGCATGACGCACACAGTCTGCCTGAGACATGAACCGTGAAATGTTCCAAAGAACCCATGCCAATTAATTGCACTCAAGCGTCTCCAATTAAAGCTTTCTATGGTAGTGGTGAGAATTTTTTATCACCACAAAAAAATGCTCATCTAATTTATGGAGAATACATGCGCAACCATCACAGATTTATTGCCCAGATGACATGAGTTGCTCTTTCAGCATTCAGCATAGAAAATTGAACCCAACGTCTCCAGTGATCATATGTAGTCATACTTGATGCTGTACATGCTGCTGTTACTAAGCTTTATGGCTACCATGAGACAGTTTTCTGATGATAAATTAAAAGAAAATGTTTTGGTCTGCTGGGTGTCTGATACAAGCGGTCCTCCAGTACCAACTCCAAATCTGCCGATATTCTATCAGCTTGTCTGGCAGACATCAGGGCCTGGATGAGTGTAAACTTCCTGCAGCTGAATATGGACAAGACGGAAGCCATACTCCTTGGCTCCTGTCAACGTCGTTACTCCTGCGGATCTAAATTCCTCAATCTACCTGGGCTCTCCCTCAGACTCACCGAACCAGTGCGCAACCTAGGCATCCGGTTCGATTCCCAGCCGCCCGCATACTGACCCGGACCAAACTCCGTATCCGCATTTTACTAGTTCTGGCCCAGGCTCCACTGGTTCCCCATCACCGAACAGACCAACTTTAAGATTTTCACACTCGTGTTCAGATTCCTTCCCTCCCTGGCACCTCCCTACCTCTCCGACCTCCTCACTCCCCAATCCACCACCCGGCGCCTCCGCTCGACTGGCACTGGCCTCCTGCTCATCCCTCGCAACCTCTGCCCCACCATCGGAGGTCACGCTTTCAGCCACTACGCCCCAGACACTCTGGAACACTGTCCCTCGATCCCTCCGCCTTCCCCCCTGTCTCCCCTCTGTCAACTCCCGCCTGAAAACTTTCCTCTTTGACCATGCTTACGGCCACCTCCCCCCGGCTTGGAGTCAGGCTACGCCACTATTAAGCGCTCTGAGACGCTACCCTTCGTGGAGGGCCCTATATAACTGCAAGTTGTTGTTGTTGATGTATTGTTAGAATGGAATGCGCATGCTCTCCTTGGAGGGACACATCTTGCTTACCTAATTCCGGAATGTCTTAGGCACAGGT